ATGTACTCATTGTCCAGTAAACTTTGACTTGACCCGGTGATTTGAAATTTTGAACACAAATAAACAATTTTTCGTGTACTAAATTTGAAATTACTAATTTTTTTTAAAATGATATTGATGAAAAATTTAAAATATTAGGTTATTTTAAATTATTTATTATATTATAATCTATTTATCGTATATATATATATATATATATATATATATATATATACATATATACAATATCTTATAGGTGTATAAAAATTCTCTTGCCACAGTGTTTGTAACAAAACCTCTTGATATTAAAGGTGGAAAACCTCAAATATTTTTTATTCCTTATATCCCTTGATTATGACATCACGTGTGAACGGTTGGATCGATTTTGCTAATTCTTTTTTGTTGTGTTTGTTACTTACAGGACTCAGGAGAATAAAAAAATTGAGAAAATTAAACGGAAAAATAGAGAATTGAAGAAAACTTAACAACTTAACTTAAAAATGGTTGCTATTAGCTATATATAATTATTATAATCATTATTTTTYTATATTATAGGTTGTAATATATACAGACATTTTAAATAAGGTAAAKATGTACTGTTATCGCGCATTCCAATAATTCCAGCAAATATGTAATTCAAATTCAAACGTTTGCAGTTTCCGGTGTGACTTGTCTTTGCAATGACCTTAAACAAAGCATGAAGAAATTCTCTACAAGTGTGTAGACTAAATTTGGAAAATCCATACTTCCCGCATAAGCAGCTTCAATAAATAACAAATAATGCGATGGTGGTAATTCATTACGTATAATATAAAACACAAGATTCATAATATCCCAAATGACTATATTGGATTTTTAAAACCAATAAGTGAAATGCCTTTAAAATGTTATCAAAATGATTTACTTGACTAAAAATATAATGACAAAAGTGTTTTAAAATTGYAAAACGTAAAAAATAATTTTATATTCGTATTTATCATAAATTAATAACATAAGTTATATTTGTTGAAAATAAATTGATGAATAAAAACATTATTTTAAATATTTTGATAGTATTTTTCCCCTATATCAATAAATGAGATATGAAAACAATGTTTTCTGCAGAAAAGAGACATGACCACAACATACATATTTTATTATTTAAAAATAATTTATAAAAGTTTTTTTCACAAATTAAATGAAATTTTCAAGTGATTTAATTAAATATAGAGTCAAAAATTTCGAAATTTTTACATTAACATTTTATAAATTATTTAAATTTTCGTCATTCCTAAAAAATTAGAAAAAGTGGACTTGTTACCTTTCTACAGTTTGTGATTCATATAGGGTTRGAATTTTTAAYAGGSAATAAAGTGTAAAAGATCAACTAGTATAATCTAATTTTTTTTAAATAATGGCAATTAATTTTATTAAAAGGGGGACTTAGCGCAATGGTATYCTTACCAAATCAAAATATTAAAGATCATAATTATTAGGGGCTACTATAGTGGTCTATTTTTGTATTTAGTATATYAATGTGCAAAAACATAATACATAATAGGCCTTAGCAAAAAAAGCAAATGCAATTTTAGGAATGTAGATGGACTGCAATTCTAAGWGCCATTCTAGTGAATTATGAAAAAAAATAGATAATACCTATAATTCTAAATGATTTTTATGCACCAACTTATTTATGTAATTTTATATGGTATTGTGCCATACATATTATGTAGGTATATTATAATATATTTCCATCATTATCATTATGAATTGTTATAAAATATTCATAACACAATAATAATATACAAAAACTAATAACCATTGTTATTCTCGGTTCAAACTTCACGGACAGAACATATTCACTGTACAATATGTACATTATCATGCATATAGCTATACATGTATACTGTATAGGTAAGAATAATATCACAAATCTTGAACGTAGGTACCTACTACCTATACATATAATATTCATAAAATATCATAATATCGTCGTGCTCTGAAAATATTTTAAAATCCRTTAGTCGCGCGTACTTTCGCACACAAAGTCGAATCATTGATTCGTACAGATTGTACACATGAAACGATCATCATCCAATACTCGCATAGTATTAATATTATGATATTGYGATATGATATRTGAATAATATATACGATATGGCTATCGTCTTTATACACACAGTGATATCGTAAGGGAAGACGACTTTATATCATTAAAACCTTCTATGATGTGTGTATATATATATATATATATATAAATATTTATGTATATAAATGTATGTACGGTGCTCATGAAAAGGATAAGTCGTGTGACGGGATTTCGACTTACAGCATATAATACCATTACACAAACGTTTGGCTCACGACGAAATCGAGAGTTCCCTGAAAATTAAATTATTATAGTACGTCGACCGTCTACGTCGTCGTTTCCTCGCTGCAAACTAAATAACAATTATATATTATAATATTGTAAGTATAAAGATATACTCAAATGAATCCGTTTATAATGAATAATGACGTTGCTRGGAGAGTTTGGATGATGTTACCTATATATATTATCGTTTCAAACGAAATAATTTCTTCATTATTATTTATTACTATCATTATAAATATTATATCTTATTATTGAAGTCGTACTCGTCATCTTCGTATAATATGTTTGTCGATGGAGAAAAAGGTTTAGAAAACTTTTTCATATATTTATAATGTACCGTCGCACGTGTGATGTACGTGTATCGTAAAATACATATACCTAATAATGTTATAATACCRTYAGAGTCGTTATGTTTATAACTGATATTGCAGCTATTTGCATAAAGATAGTGTGGTACCTATACCGCAATAATAAATTTTACAATAGTATACCGTTTCAATTTTTGAATTGTTATATTTTATTAAGGACCGATCTGAATAGATCTAAATAAAAACGTAATGTGACGTTTTGTGAAATAATTTTAACATTATAAATTAATATAGCATAATTATTATGTTATAAGTATAATTTGTTGTGAATGAGAATCATAATAATAATTCATCGCGCTCGAAAATCCGACAGTCGTCTCTTTATTATTTTAATATATAGTTTTACGTGTTTATTCGTACCCTCCATTTTGGAATTCAATAGACCAGTTTGTTTTGTAACCAGATAATACATTATATATTATGATAATGACCTGTTCTCATAACATATAATAAAATGATTACTACACTACACACCGTCGACTGGATGATATCATAGATTATATCGAAGGGTGTTGTCCGACGGCCGAAAGCTCGTTATTATTCAACCRATTGGTATAAACACCTATAATAGGTAGGACGAGTTTTTTTTTATTTTACTTTTGCGGATTCTATATACACAGTTTCTACAGCCACAACTATCGTTATCATAAAATAGACAAACACTAGAGACTCTTAGCCAAATATTTTTATTATTATGCTTGTTTACTGTGTTAACTATACAAACTTTAATACATAAAATGATTGGAAAAAAAAATAAGAAGGTTTTAAGACAAAATATTATAATATATTTGATATACTATGCAGTATATTATAATATATTATAAATCGTTTATTAAATTCGTCAAAATTTCTATCAACATATGATATATTTAAACATATCATATATTGTAATTTTACATATTTGTAAACATAGATTCAATTAATATAAAGTATATTAATACAAAATGTAATTAAAAAAAAAAAAAGTAATGTATACTAAATACATATTGAGCTTAGGTATACGAATAACACGCGCAGATATTGTTACGTCATTGTTAATATAAAGTTATATTAACGTCACGTGCGTATTAAACTATCTTTGTATTAAAATAATATTGCAACGGCCCAACGAAGTTGATACAACCGAGTGATGAAAACTATCGAGATCTTTTTTATGATTATTTTCGTTTTATTTACTAATAATTATTATAGATATTTAACACGAAGAATATGATGATATAATAATATATCAGTTATCGGTACCTACGGTATGATAATTTTTTTTTTTTTTTGATTATAAGACACGCGCCAACTGATGAATATATTTTATCTGATGACGAATTTGATTTGGCTCGACGAAAATTAAATAAAAGAACGATGGCATTATTATATTATATATTACGCGCGAGTTAATATCTGGTAACTTGTGGTGATGAGATGGGGTTGTATGTGTGTGTGAGGGGGAGGGGTAGACTAGCTGCTTACAATGGAGTCATATTAGTATCCGGAGCTGCCGTGATGGTAGTCGTGGTGTTCGTAGTGGTCGGGTTGGTACGCCTTGACCGGGTATGGCACGGCAACGGCCACTTTGTATGGCACTTTGACGGGATACGGAATTTGCTTCTCGACTGGGTACGGCACTGGTCTCTCGACTGGGTATGGAATGTGTTTCTCCACTGGCACTGGGTATGGRCGGTCAACGGGAACCTTGACTGGGTAGTGGACTGCCTTTTCGACTGGGTATGGTACAATCTTCTCGACTGGTACGTGCACTGGGTAGGGRCGGTCAACGGGCACCTTGACTGGGTAGTGGACGGCCTTCTCTACTGGGTATGGCACTTGCTTCTCGACGTAAACTGGGTACGGCTTGTCTACGTGCACTGGGTATGGGCGATCTACGGGAACCTTGACGGGTACTGGAACCTCCTTGACGACTGGGTATGGCTGTGCCACGGGCACCTTGACTGGGTAGGGTTTGGCRACGTGCACGGCGTATGGTTGTGGCACATCCACGGCGTATGGGCGGTCGACTGGAACTGCTACCTTGACGGGGTATGGGTATGGCTTGGCTACCTCAACTGGGTATGGCAGAGCAACGCTCTTGGTGATGGTCTTTACTGGAACGTGTTGTTGGTATACCTGAGGTGCACCGTATGTCGCGAATGAGTCGTGTCCGCCGAAGTCAGCGTATCCGGCTCCGTAACCGCCGGCTGAGATGAGTCCGTGTCCGTAACCCGCGGACAGGATGTCGGAGTGACCGTAACTGTCGACAGACGCGCCGCCGAAACCGTAGCCGGTGTCGAACAGACTCCTCTTACCCTGGGTCTTGCTGTCATCCGCAGTCTTCTTGGCCGACTTGTCGTCTGCGGCCAGACAGTGCGCGCAAAGCGCTAATACGCACACCGCGAACAAAGTYGATCTCATCGTGGTGGTCGTGTGCTTGAATTGTTGATCGTGGCGGTTATAGCAGCAGGTACTCGTCTCGGCAAACCGGACTGGACGTGAGTGTTGCCTGACCGTCGGCGTTCGACGGTTATGTAGCGAATCGCCGCGCCACCACCACCGCCACCGACCCGGTGCGGAGGCCGGTTTTTMGCTCCCACCCCGCCCCGCCGCGCAGCGATCGACGACGGACAGACCTACTTTCTATATAGGTACACCCGTGGTTCAGTGTCACATGTTATTATTATTATTACTATTATTTAATAATTCACTCGTATATAGTACGCGCATGTACCAGCCATACCAGCTCGGTAGCAGAGCGTAAGACCACTCTTGTTTTTACTTCTATTCGTTTCATTTTTTTTTCCTGCCGACGCTGCAACGTGCAGAACGGGAAGAAATCGAGATTTGTACGTCAAGGTCGACRGCGGCCGGCGGACGCGCAGGAATATCATATTATTACGTTATTGTTGTTACTGCTGCTGCTCCGTTGTTGTTGTTGTCGTTCCGATGACATACCTTTCGGCGATCCGTCCAATATTTTATTAATTATCCCATCGTCTCGAATTTTTGGTGCACTTTATGGCAACGAGTTAGTGCAAATTGTTATTGAAATATTGGGGGAAATTAATATCGTTTCAGATATCGATGGACAGAGTTGCGCAGCTTTATCGCTCATCCTATGTAGAATACTATTTGATTTTAAAATAAACATAATAATATTGTATTATGAGTGTGGTTGTAGGAGGTTTCTTACCTTATACAATTTTTGCTCTATAGTTAGAGGCATATAAATTCAGGTGACTTATTACATGCATGGTGAAATTTTAGGTGCGGAAAATTTAATCATTTTTTATTTTAAAAATTTCAAAAGGTATTTTTATTTTTAAATTTTACTTATTTTTCAAGTTGGAAATTTTAATTAAATCGTGTTTCTATATGAAAGGGCTATATTACAAATTGTTTGTTTAAAAACATATTTTATAAATCATTTTAAGAGGGGCGTGGTGGAAGAGGTGGTGTATGATAAAGTTTCTCAAGCCACAGAAAATTTAAATACGACACTGTCTGTACCACTTTTAGCATATTTTCATCGGTTATTATACTAGCATGTACAATGCGATTGGCAGCAGTGCAGCACGGCCATAGAGCACGCGTTCGAATCGTTTATTGGAGGAAAAAGTTTCCGACGTGCGTATGCATAATATTATTATTTTTTAATAATAACGATAAAATTGATAAAGAACAGAACGAACAACGTCCTTAAATCTTGTGCGAACACACATTTAACAGAAGCATGCAACCCGCAGGCACATTTGGATGTACTTACAGTAATCTCTTCGCGAAGGTCCTCGATACAGAAAAGCCCTATTTCCRGTATTAAAACATCGATATTTGAGTGAACACGTACACAGCCCTCGAAATTGGGGACAAAGTCGCGGTGGTAGATCGTGTGAGATACGCCTAATATAGTATTTTATAGATAAATAATAATGACGTTCCATCGGTAAGGTACCTATCTATATATTAAGTATACCAACCGTACGGTGGTTAGAAAAATTGTAGTTATCACATTAGATGTAACGAACTCGATAGAAATTATAATATATGTAATATATAATAATATATAATATACACACGTGATGCTTATGAATATACGYAACWAAAAGTATGTATTTCTAATTCGTAACTCATCATCTGAGAACCTTCATAATCAGAGATAGTGGTGATGACGGAGATGATTTGGCGTACCTACGTCAAACGTGCATGGCGTCGAATACGAAAACGCATAGAAATTCCGAAGCACGCYGCGCGTACCTCGATCCGTATAATATTATAATATTATTATTATTATTATTATTATTTTGTGTATAACGGGGTCCGTGTCGGGACCCTCGTGTCTCCGACCGGGGAGGGATATCGGTGAGTGCAGTCGTATATATAATTTGTGCGCTCCTTTATTAAAATAATTCGGCCGCTGATTGACAGACGGCGGGGGTCGTCATCACCCCCAGCTTACCCCGTCCGACAATCCGACAACCCACACAGCCTATGCAGTTATTCGATTTGGACGCTCTGTATATTATATACACGTTGACGTCACATTATGCGTTGCCGGATCGGAGGGTTTTTCTTTTTTCCCTAACGCCACCGCCGCTTTCCACGCCTGCCAGGACCCGAGATATACACTATCTGACCGCGCTCGTTAGAATCCGATCGGTCGGTCGTCTCGGGTGACTAATACCTGCTGTAGCGGCAGTTTGATGACATTACCGCACGCGCCGCTGTTTACACGATATAKTGAGAGCACTTCGACTTTGACCCGCTCCTATGTGCGAGGCCTATGCTCGCCCCCTTGGAGAGAAAATCATATTATTATATTGCATACTCGAAGCGTGGGACGTCAAATTTTCGGAAAAATCACTCGACTCGTATAGTAGGTGCTCGTATGAATAATTCACGAAAAATCCCCTCRCCGGACACATCACGACTCGGTGATTAAACGCACTGCGCCGCACTGGTCAACACGGGTGATGACGAATAATAGATATAATATAATAATATAATATTTTATTTTATATACGCAGTGTAATCCCCATGTGCTTTATATTCTTATTATGTCAAAACAACGGGCTGTGAATTAACCAATATACATCGTATATTATTCGAACACGAGTTTTGTTAGGTTTCGACTAATATTGTGTAAATTGTGACCGTATTATATTATTATTGCACATGAAATAATGTGTGAAAATGTACCAACAATTTTAATTTTGATGGCAGCTACACGGAATTTATTCGCAAGTCTGAAACACTGCAAAATTATGAACAATTTACTTAGGTTTTTTTCTACACTAAATACGTGATGAATTCTTTTGCTTTGTTTTATATTTAAATCTTTAATCAATTCAAGTAACGATCTATCCAATCTCTTACCATTTTGTAGTAAGTTCATAATAGATATTAATTATTATACAGGTATACTATGCGTAGTGTATACTTCTATCTATCTTACATAGCGCGCTGAATCATGTTTTGTTCACGATAGACAACAATTAGAGCAATTTATATGTTTATCACCTAAATAAATAGGAGTAAAAATGTCGACCTAAACAACTAAAGAATAATTAATTTTAGAGTTAGATAAAACTGAAAATAGCGCGCATTTTGCAGTTTTTTGTTCAATTGCTGTAATTTGGTCAATTTTGGCTTTAGAAAGTTAGTTGAACTACTAGGCAAAAAATATAAGTGGTTAATATAGGTGGTTTGCATTTAAAAAATTGTATTTCGCATGTGCATTGTGCATGTTTAATTAAGTTAAAAAAATTCAAAGACCATACAAATTTGTATTTTTATGTCATAACAATCAACTAAAATCAGAATTCAAATTGCAGTGCTCTACACATAGATATTGAGTGCTTTCAGTTAATGTTTACACGCTGTATATTATATTAAAATACGTTTTAAGTTTATGTCGTTATCGAGGGCTGTATAAATTACTAATAATATGATTATATATTCTTTTATCACTCGTAATTTCGAAAAGGTATTGATACAAAGAAGTTTTGCAGTTTGCTGCAGGCCTATAATATTTACCTAGCAATAATAATAAATAATACAATGAAAATTAAATATTCAAACTGTGTCCGCATCAGTCTCAGTCATGTGGCGGAGAAGATTGCACGTGTCTGCGTTAATTCTATAATACAATATTGATCAACATTTAGTTTTACGAAGTTTGTGCACTTTAGCACTGTTGCATAGACGCGTAAGACTAAACGTTGTGACCACGTAATTTGAAGTGTATATTTATATCACCTATATCTGTGCTTAAATCATGGACCATGGTGAACGCCATATATACCGTCGCCATATTCTCGACATATCGGGTTAAATTTCTATTGTAATTGTTCTATTTTTACGTAATTGTTGCAACAGGTCAGTGGACGCTACTGAGTAATAATATTATAATATTATGGCATGACACCGATATTTTGTCGGGTTGTGTTACACTTGTACATTCTGAGGTTGACCGTTCTTGGTTCTTGTTTGGCGTTATAAAATATCATAATATATAATATATACGTTTACTGTATCATTTGACTTAACTTGTACGTTTTATCCACACAGTTGGCCTAGAACCCGAGAAATTAAGAATTTTTTTCTAATTTATGTAATACATTACAATGTTAGGTATAATATATTATTATTATTATTAAATATAGAACAATAATATTCTTGTCGACTTGTTCTCACTTTCAACCTGTATAAGTCAACTTATATGTTTTATTAATTTGGTCAATCTTCATATGCACGCGATGCACATTTACTCAAAATCATGGCATGTATAACATTAGTTGTATGCTGTGAGTGATTAAAATAATATTTTATGTAATTTAAAACTTAAAATTAAAAAGTCATAAATGTGAAATCGCTTATTTATTAAGGTTAAATTCAGACAATATAGTTTATGTAATCCACTCGAGGACACCATCCACAATAACGATTCGTTATTGTTATTTAATTACCATTATAAACAATCCGAAATATGTAAAATATACGGTGGGTGAACTTTGATAATCGGATTCAGAAATAGTCGACGACGACCATGTTCCRTATGGTCCCGTGAAAATTGAATTAATAATAATAATATATTATAACTCTTACCCGTTGTGGTTGAATTTGTTGGGACGTAAATAAAAAAGATATATGTTTACCTTGTCAGTTTGATATACATTTCCTCGGTCACACTAGTTGCATAAAACCGGATATATAGAATATATAGAGCGGTAAATGATTGAAAAAATATTTAAGAAAAAAAAATGATTTACTAACGATCAAAAGAGAAATACGACGGTAGCTATAAGTATTACACACAGATGGATAATATAAAAAGAAACCGACCCTGGTGAGTGGGTACCAACCTACATCGAATACGTATATATATAGCTATGGTGATGTATTTAGACAGGGTGAAAATATTTCATCTTTTTTTTCTCAAATCCCTTTTTCATCTATTAGGGGTATCCCAGCGAAAGAGGGTTGCGTGCGTCGTATCCCTCTTTTTGGATGATTGTCTTTCAAACGATATCGCTGAAATGTAAATTTTAAATTTCTTCCTCACAATAATAAATTGTAATTTCTGAGTGGACTTTGATAAATTAAGGTGTATATGCMTACTTCATATAAAATTATATAATATTAAAATATACACGCAGGTAGCGATAATGTTATATATAGGCGCACCTATATGTGCCTCATCTGCACACTATAACGTTGCAGATCACTTGTTATTTTATCATTGTATATAGCCACATAGCTAGATAGACCACGAAATATGGAAGTGACTAATTTGTTGATTTCAATTTAAAAAAATAAAAACGTTTTCTTGCAGCAATGTACGATCTAATTATAGCTCACAAACTCACAACCACAGCTACGCGATCGTGGTTTTAAATAAAACACACCCAACATTATAATATCTTTAACATCATAATATTTTATAGCTTTGCAGAAATATGTATAATATTATTCATGTCATATGTAATCCTACTCGTAGGTATCATAATATTTATGC